TGTGAACTCTGATCGAATAAATGAATTAGGGGTGTGACTATGGAACTTTGGTGGTCTCACGGATATCTAAGAGGCACCAGTTGCCAGCAAGGCAAAACAATAAGATAAAGTCATTGTACTATACGATGCATTCCTGTAGTGATTAACAGAATACACCCTCCGTCTGGATTTAACTGCCTACTTTCTTGTTTTTGTTTATTTGGAATTAGTTGTCCTCTTACAATATTCAATAAAGAAATTATGATGAATTGTCTAAAAATATCCTATAGATATGGTAAGAGCATTGTTGACATCAATGAATGAACAACTCATTTGAAAAATTTATTTCATAGCTTAAACTGGTTTCTTTAGAATGAATTTAGAAAGGGGACAACCAAATCTAGACAGAGGGAGTATATCAACAGGGTACCTATGCGAAGTTTGACGACATGAGGCCATGAGGGGAGTTATGCAGAAACCATACAACCTAGTGTTTATTATTCTATATGATTACTAAACTAAAAGGAGATGGAAGTAAAGAAAACAGCTAAGTTATCAAGGCGACTAGTCGAGTTGAGTCGGTGAAGAGGAGACTAGTGGACTAGTCGACTAGTCGGCCTACTAGTCGACAAATCACAATTAGTATTGAAATTTTTAACATTGTACTATATATCTTCATTGAACTATATATATGTATATGACGAAATATCATTACCAAAACAAAATTATATTTAAAGTTAGCACACAAAGTCACATAACGAAGGGTACATAAGAAACAAATACCCTTCAATCTTCAAAAACAACACACCAACAAAGACAACATGCACAAAAAAAAGTTAAAGAACATATTAAGACATTTAATTTCATGTTTTGAGTTATAAAATATCATCATCCAACGTTTGCCACCAGCAACTAGTCGGGTCGGGTCAAAATTGGGTTGGGTCAAATTGGGTAGGGTTTCCATCAGCAGCTAGTCATCACCCAGGTGTGACTAAACGTCGCTTTACACGACTGGACAACAAGTCCAGCCAAGTCGCTAGGCGACAATCAAGTCGCCACCTCCAAAATGACCAAACGACTAGTCGGCGATGACTTAATAACCATTGTAGCAATAGACNGCTACAGCACTACTTACAATCTCGAATTCTCTAAGGGTTTTGGATGGAGGTTCTAGAGGGCTAAGACTATATCTTGATATATACTCTCTCCGTCTGCGAATAGTTTACCCACTTTCTTTTTTCACCCGTCTCAAAAGAATTTACACACTTTTTCTCTTTTTCTTTTTTTGGAAAGGAATCTGTGGTCCAAAGTACTTCTCTCTCTCTTCTCAACAATTCTAACCTTCCACTTTTCATTTTTTTTCATCTTATCAGCACTTTTCTTAATCTTAGTGAAATCAAAATGGGCAAATTATTCTAGGATGGGGGGAATAGTTGAAATTTTATTAAAAGTGAGGGAACAACATAATGGTTGATCATGTAACATTTCAATCACCTTTATTTTTTTATTTTTATAAACACATCCTATTTATCGACATATAGACTATAAGCCTTTTTAGTTTTATAGAAACATCCTATTTATCAACATATAGACTAAGTCCACTAGTGCCTTCCCCTCTGTCTAAACTGACCCTAGAGGAACTTAAATCAAACTGAACTTGGAAACCAGAACTAGCATTGCAAAAGGAAACTTTATCTAGGACATGATCCCATTGAAATAGTAACTATGGATGGAGATTCTGCAAAGAAGTGGCCAATAATAACAATGTGTAGAAAGTTTGGAACTTGGAAAGTCTTTTATGTCTTATATTATAGGAAGTTAGGATTAGGAACATTTATTTTAAACAGTGCAATAGTAGTTACTAAAGGTGCTAGTTGCAAAAGGCTGTAGTAATTGGCTAGAGGAAGAACTGAGTGCTTTCTGGCTACAAGAAAACTGTCAAAACATAAAATTCACTGTTAACTATGCCCCGCCTAACTCAACTCCTATAAAACTGGCATATGTTTGAATGCAACTACATGTTGACTCGGTTGAGTGTTTGACCAGTAGATAAGAGAATGTATAATGGACCAAGAAACACTAATGCTTTGTTTGTTTGGGGGGAAGTTGAGAAGAAAGAGGGAAGAGAGGAACATGAGAGAAAGGGAGAAAGCTGGTTAGTGTTTAGTTAGGAGAGAAAGTGGTGCCAAGGAACCAACTCAACCAAAAGCTCAAGCTTGTGATTGGAGGCCAAGGGAAGATTTATACTCTACTACAACCCCTTACGTGTAGGCAAAAATGTTTTTCCTAAAGTGTTGCACGTGAATATTAACTTTGTAAACATGGCCATGAGATTTGAACTCATGACCTATAGGTCAACAATACTTTGATACTATGTCAAGTATCCAATTCAATCAAAAGGTCAAGCTTCAAGTTGTAGGCCCATAAAAGATCTCTAACAATAGGAAAAAGAAAAGGAAAAGCATTTGGTTCCTAAACACTTTGATTTCTCTCCTCCAATAGGAAGAAATGATGAAGGAGATTAGTTTTTCTTTTGATTTCGATATTTATGCCTCTTTTTATATTTCTTTTTCGTAATATAAGGTTATTTGTCTATTTATAATAAGCATACATTTCTCTCTTTTCTCCCTTTTATTTCTCTCATACCATTAAATGCAGAAAAATCCATCCATTTCTCTCTCCCACAGTTCTTTCTTCTCAGAGTTTGTTTTTTCATTCTTTCGTCACTATTTCTCTCCCTCACCCGACAAAGCACAATTGAAGTGGTGATGCCTAGACATTCTAGTGCTCTAGAATATGAAAACAAGTCCAAAAAATATTCCGCTTTTATCTCTTTGAGACTACATCCTACTCATTTCTTTGCTGGCTGTCCTCATATTTTTATGTGAGGTTGTAATCTTCTCCTGTTTTAGTGTTTGTTTTTTTGTCGCCCTATTTACATTTGTTAATATTCATTTTGATCTGGTGCTTTCTGGTTCATCAGGGAAAATGGACAGCTTCAAATTCTTAGTGCCCACCACCAATCAGGAGGAGTATGTTTAACAATTCAAATCTTATGCATAAGGTGTTTTTGTTGGTTTGCTAATTTATTGTGTGATTTATTTTAGGAACGCTCTGTTTCAACTATTCTTTACCTTGTTTCTCTTCAAGACCTAACTACTTGCCCTTTTAGAGTGGTTGACGAAATAAATCAAGGTCAGCACCTCAAATTCATTTTGATTATAAAGTTTGTGGGTCCTATAGTAGACTACAATAATAAGGGTGGTAATCATTGTGCCTTTTTTTCCTGGTGGTGTAGGAATGGATCCAATTAATGAAAGGAAAATGTTTCAGCAATTAGTTAGAGCAGCCAGCCAACCTAATACACCACAGTAAGAAAATTGCTACTTCTATCTTTCAACAGTTTTCAAGTAGTTTTTTTTATAACAATGTTTTAGCTTATACTTTTAAAAACATTTACTTCATTGGCAATCAATCAATTTCTCAGTAGCTACTTAAAGCATACCATTAATAAGATATTGATGAATCATGATATCATTCTTAAGATACTACAATACTCTAACATCTTTAGTCTCATTGTAACATCATAGTTTATGAGTTTATATAATCCTTTTGAATGCTTTCTGAGCCTTTCTCCATTGTCTCTTTAAATATTGACTAATTCAAATCTGATGCATTTTGTTCATTCAGTAACTTCTGCTGTAAAATACTCCCTCCATCCCAAAAAGATGTGCCTAGTTTGACTCGACAGATTTTTAATAAAGTGAAAATCGTGTGGTTGGGATTTATACAGAGAGAGAAACACTATGAGCCACACAAAACTCACCAAATACTGAAACAAGCACATCCTTTTGGGTCAGATGTAGTATAGCAATCTTGGGTCATAGTTGTCTGTGTGAACAATATATGGAGTCCTTGAACATTATCATTTAACCCCAACAACAACCCAGCTGGATCCAACGATATCATTAAACCCCTAATGAACAGAAAAACCAGGGTGAATTTTTGATACTGTCTAAACTCTTAACTTTTAAAATCTGTCAATTTGGCCAGGACTTGGCACTTGGGTGTAGTTTTAGCCAAAATTACGGTTTTTTGTCGAAGCTGAACATGTTGGCAGCTTGCGTGGTTACCGCTTACATGATGGTGATGACTAAGTAAACTGTTTTTGGTCACTACGCCTATGATAAATGGACTCACCACCCACCACAGATTCTACTAATCAATTAGCTTGGTTTTTAATATCCTATCATGCTACACATCTACTATATTTCACCATTATGTTTACAACTTCCCTAAACTGAATTTTGCTTTGCGAGCCGTTTTACAGGTGCTTCCTACTCACGCCAAAACTGTTGCCTAATCTAGAATATAGCGAAGCTTGCAGCATTTTGACTGTAATGAACGGGCCGTGGATCGATCAGCCTTCAAAAGGTTTGTGCCACTCTATATATCTTGTTTATAATACAACTCAGTCAAGTACACAAGTTGGGTTTGGGGCGAGCGGCTTATGTAGCCGTATAAAGCTAGAGAGGTTATTCCCCAAAGATTCTTACTTAGAGTAATTACGATAAACGACGAGTTAGAATGCAAGATCCCCCCCCCCCCTCCACTGACATCTCCATTTTGATGCTAAATTGCAGCGTGGGGCAACGGGGAGAATTGGAGAACCGTTGTGGGATCCCTCGAAGAGAGGTGTCACTAGGAAGGGCAAAATCGTGTCTGGACTGCCTTCTGTTTTTCAACAGTTCTAACGGCATTTTGTTTAGTCGGATGTGTATGTATATATGTAATTCTTTTGCTAACTTGAAGTAGCATCCTCTTCTCTTTCAAATATTTTTGCAGTTTTCAAGCATTAATTTTTGGACCTTTTACATGATGCGTAGCTTGTAATTCTCTCTCTTTGTATAAATGGCGGGAGAGCAGTGTTTTGTGTAATTGAATAAATAAACACTCTGTTACATATTGAATACATTACATTTTCAACCATAATCAAACCGAAAATATAGATAATAATTAAATCCGACCTATATAATATGAGTAATACATAGGAAATGATCAGATTGATCTGATTGCTAGATCTAAATGAAGAGAATAGACAGTCACATATTTTATTTCTTAATTGAAAAAATAAGGTCTAAATTTTATTTTGTACCCGTCCAAATAAAATAAAGACTTTATTTTGGACTATATCTTTACATATAAAACCCAAAAAAATAACCATAAAGATCCTCTTCTTCAGATTTCTTGTTCTTCACTCCCATACTTCCACAGTATTGGACACAACGATCGGACTCCTCACTGTGTGATTACCGTTCACCTCAACCCAAGTGATGGACCCCACATTCTTGCTTTGGTTCTCGTCCCCTCTATAACGGATCGTCAAACTATAGCTCTGCTTCTCCATCTTCTTCCCGAACACCAACGTCATCGGAGACACTGACATTGTTGAATTCTTGGGAACTCTTAGCTCAGCTTTGTACGTCGCGGCGCCTGGCCCAACGTTCGTTAATGTCCTCTTGAAGGTTTGCGACAACCAGCGGTAAACGCCGTTGTCTCCTCCGAGAGGATACAAAGCGATGAACGACGGGTAGTTGAGGTCCGGATTCGGGTCAGAACAATTCTGGCTCGAGGAGGATCTTGTTATGCTTTGGAACTGAGGTCCCGTGAAATTCATGGAACAAAGGAGGTTCACATAGTCTTGGGGAGTTGCGTCGTACACTAGACCCGGGTCAACTGCCATGTTCGGGTTAACCATACCTGCACCCATGTCCAGTGGCGTCGCCACCGAGTTGTCGTCAGCGGCTTTAATTGGCTTGCCGGTATTGTCAACGGTGATAGCTGTGGTCATCATGGCGGACCTGACGAGAGATTGAATAAATTATTTATGAAAGAAGTTTTTTTTAAGATTAATTTACTAAAATATGACCAAAATATAATGACTTTCTCAATATAGGACCATATGTTTTTGTTTCTCAATGTATAACCATTGATCATTATCTATTAGTCATTATTCAACTAAATGTTTAGCATTAATTAGATATTATTTCTCTCACTAGTCATTATTAAATCTTAAAAAGTTTAATTCCTACATTAGAAAATGATTTATATTTTTTGATCGCAAATTTCACTTTTTTTTAAAGAAAAATGCTAGTCCACTAAAATGCTATCCCCCACCCCTCCTTGTCCACTAAAAAAGGTAAAAAAATTCAAAAAAATTAAGTAAATAAAAATCAAATAAAAATGTGTGGAGGAAAAGAGGGTAGTGTACATTTGGGGTACACCTTTTGGTGTACCCTAGCATTACTCTTTTTTTAATGAGTACTTATTTAATTATAGCTTTGCAGTGACAGTAAACCTGTTTGTTACCTGATTGCAGAAGGGCTCCAATCCGGGTGCGCCGCCTTGAGCATCGCCGCGATTCCGGCGGCGTGAGGGCAGGCCATGGAAGTCCCAGACTCCAGATTATAATCCGTTCCCAACTGAATATTGGTTCCAATATTCACGGCGAAGCTATTCGGCGGATAAGCGGCCAAGATCAGAACTCCGGGCGCCAATATATCCGGCTTCGAAATCCCGAGGTAGCTCCGGGACGGACCTCTGGCTGAAGAGGCCGAAACCGCCGGCGCCGGTGTTTTCCCGAAGAATGTTTGCTGAAAAGTGATGGTGGCTGTTGGGTCGTTCCCGGATTTCGCGTATCTGATCACTTCCTTTCCTTCTTTGGGGCTGATGAAAACTCCGGGAATGGGAAACGTCGTCGACCGGAAAATTCCTGGCTCGTCGTTTATAAAGATTGCCGCGTCGAATCCGGCACCTCTAACGGAATTCATCCGGGAGAATGTTGAGGTAGAATCGTCGTTCTCCGGTTTCTCGCAAATGATTATAGAAGGTTCGGGGTCTGGGATTCCGGCGAGAAGCTCCGATGAGTCGCAGGCGGAAACTGTTTTGTTGTAAAGAAGACGAACGTTTCTGACCAGTGCTCTGCCCGGGAACAAACTCCATCCCCTGAATTCCTTCCCGTTGCCCAGGGTCAGCGTCCCGGCGAACCACCGATCGGTATGGCCGGAACCCACCGTCAAGATCCAAGGAGCGCCGTTGTTTATGGTACCCACACTGGGACCACTGTTTCCGGCAGAGCCGGCGACGAGGACGCCTTTCATCATCGCCCCAAAAGCAGCAATTGCGATGGAATCTTCGTGCAGGGGTATGAACCGGTACCCGATGGAGACCGAAATCACGTCGACGCCGTCGGCGACTGCCTGGTCCATGCCGGCGATGAGGTCGGAAGTTAAGCTTCCTTCGCTCCAGCTGACCTTGTACACAGCCAAGCGAGCCCGAGGCGCCACTCCTTTGGCCGTGCCCGGAGCGTATCCGAAGAAGGACACATCCTTCACGTAGTTCCCGGCGGCCGTGGACGCCGTGTGCGTGCCGTGGCCGTCGGTGTCCCTGGCGGAGTTCATAGAAATGTTGATTCCGGGGTTGGCAGCGAGAACTCCGGCGTTAAAATAATTAGCTCCGATGAGCTTCCTGTTACATAAAGAAGAATTGAACTCTGTCCCTACCTTACAACCACCCTTCCACCTCCGGGGAATCTCCGGCATCCCGTCGTCTCTAAAGCTCCTAGACTCCGGCCACACACCGGTATCAATCACGCCGATGATCACATCCTCCCCGTACTTCGACGCCGGCCATAGCCCTGCCCCGGAACTAAGCTTCAAGAAACTCGGTGTGTACGTCGTCTGAAGCTCAAAGGTCCGATCTTTATAAGCAGAAACGAACCCGGGAGAAGCCTTCAAGGCTCCGAGTTCGTCTTCCGACAAAACGGCGCTGAAACCGTGAAGGACATGGTCATAAGAGTACACGAGCTTCGGTGAAGAACGGATCCCGTCGCCGGCGGTGGGCGGCTTGCAGAGGGAATCGACGGCGGCGGAGTACCAGTGGTGGTGGGTGGGGAAGGCGGTGGGCATGAAGGACTTGTCCATGTGGACAATGTAAGTGGACCTCTGGTTCTGGGCTGATAATAGTAAGGGTAGTACGAAAAGGTGAGAAGCTAAAAGAAGAAGACGCCATGGGAGGGTGGCGGGAAGCAGAGGAGAAGAACTCATCGGAGAAGATGGAGTGAGGATGGGGTCGATTTGGAATTCGGGGATTTTATAGGGGGTACGGCGCATTTATTGGTCAACGAGTAGAAAAGTAAAGAGAGGCGGCTCGGATAGATAAAGAGAGCACTACTCCGCTCCACTTGGGTTGCAGCTTTGCTGTAGTAGTTTATTAAAGGCCGACATGGGCCACGTTTGGACCAATTTGGGTTATTCGGATTTTATTTTTTATTGAAATACACATACTCTTTTACATTCCATTATCAAAAACCACATTCATACATCTCCGTTGCACGGAAACAAATTTGTTGTAGAATAAAAATTTTAAAACATTTGGGATTCACAAATAAAGAAATTCAAACCACTACAATTTACATTTCTTGAAATGCAACATACAATTTATTAATTATGGAGTAGTTTATTAATTAAAAATGACTATCTAAAGAATTCAATATTTGAATTTTTCCTATCTCAATTGTATTTATCAATTCTATACTTCAAATTTGCAATCCCTTTTTGCTGTGTTATTTAATGATTTATTTCATGTAAAAGGATTCGAGTCAAAATTTACTTCAACTCTTCCCCAAACTTTATCCATTGACTAATTTGTCGATCCAAAGATTTGAAGAGATATTTGAGTCACATGATAGAGAATGTCCAAGGATATGGCCTATTTTAGGGTGAAATTCGGAAATAATATTAAATTTACGAATATCTTGAATTGCATTTTTTTAAATGAAAAGGTTTTATGGGGCAAAAATAACATTGAATAATATATTTTGAGTATAATATTTCTTGTGATCTCATAGTATACACTTATCTAATGAACTAAATGTGACTTAGATTATGTTTTTAAGCCATAGATACAAAGAGTGTAAATAAAACTCATTTGGCAAAAGTGATCGAAGAGCTGGAAATTCACAGAGACAAAGACAATGTTCAGGGATTGAATTTTTTAATAAAAGGGCAGTAATCTTGTAGCCAATCTCCGAAGAAATATTTGCACTAAATAACACTAAAACTTAAGTCATTTCTCTAAATAGCACTTAAATTGTTTTATTCTCTAATTAGAACTTAATAATGTCTATAATGACCAACAATGATGAATATTTACTTGAATAATGACTAATGAATAATAACTAAAAGTACTATATTGGGAAGAAAAATACATGTAGTGTTTTTTGGGAAAAGTCATTATGTTTTTGTGTTATTTGAGTACATTTCTCATCAACGAAATGGGAGAGGGAGATGTTGTGGTGGGTGTGCAGGTAGGGGGCAAGGGGTAGAGTTTAGGGAGGGGACAGGTTCGGGGTAAGATTCATCATTTTTATGAACGAATCACCGTAAGGACCCTGTATCATAATATGACCCAAACTTTTAAGGTCAAAAAGAACCATTTCGTTAATAAAAAGGTTGTGCAAGCTTTCCAATTATCTATGTATTTAAATTTTACTCCGTACTTTTTAATCATTTAACATCATTTTTTGGTGAGGTGAACCAATGGTGAGATTGTGTACTTTGGGAACGTAGTATTTGCGACTCGCACGCCTAGATTCAACTTTGAAAATTGGAATGAACAATGTTCAATAATAATATAGTGGCTAATTACTCAAAAAACAATATAGTGGCTAATATTACATTCACACATACTCCTTAGAGCACTTGAAATACTCGTGAAGCCCCGGGGCTTCAAACTCTCTTTATCTGTCACGTCAGCTTTAACTTACACCAAAAATTCACTGGAAATGGGTTTGAAGCCCCAGGGCTTCAAACATGGGCTTCAAACCTTCATTTTTTACATTTTTAAATATACATCTTCTAAATTTAAATTATTAAATTTTAATTAATTTATTATTTAAATTAATCAAAAGGAGATTAGTACATTAAAAAATTACATTCATTAAAAAAATATTACATTCATAGAAGAATATATATATATATTCATAAAAAAGTTTCATTCATTAAAAAAATATCACATCCATAAAAAAATAACACTACAAAGAAATTACTAATTATTCGAGCAACTAAAAATATCTTCATTCAAATTCGAGTTGTAGTAAAATATTGCAAATTGAAATAATTCATCAAATAAAAAATACAGTCAATAAAAATAGTATGTTAAATTTAATAAAAAACAAAACAAAATTAGATTACTAAAAAAAATTTAAACAAAAAAATATTACATTAAACAACAAAATATAGAGTAAAAAAAATTATGTTTGTGTAGATTTTTTTTAAAGAGAGAGTGGGGGGGAAGAGCTTTAAAGCACGTTAAACATTTGAAGTAGAAGAAATGAAGCCCGGATGAAGCCCCAGGGAGCGGTGTTTAACGCCCCCTGGGCTTCAAAAGTAACATAAGGCCGGGTGACGTGGCATCGCCACATTGGTGAGGAGTCACGGGAACATCGCCACATTAATAATAATTTGTATGTGTTTTACAATCAACGTGTTAATATAAAAATTACTCCTTTCGTCTCAGAATTATCCTCACACTTCTTAGTTCTTACCTAGACCTCTCGATAATATTTATTTATTTTTATATTTTTTATTATCAGTTGATGAAATAAAATGTTTTTCTCAAACTCTGCTTTTTTATAATTAGACTCGGTTGTTGTTATTATCATCTCTTATTTTGTAAAATTTTTTATTTCTTAAATATGTCATTTGTACTTTTTACATATATATACCAATTTAATATATAAACAAAAGACATTAAATTTTGTACATTATTCGGATTGAGATAATATTTTAGGAAAAAGTATGATGTGATAGGTAGGGTATGAAAAAGTAAGGGTAAAAGTGGTTTTTTAATAGAAAAGGGAAGTGTTTTGTTGGAAGTGGAAAAAATGAAAGAGGAAGTATTTTTGAGAACGGAGGGAGTACTAAAGTAGAGTAAAACATTGAAAATATACCAAAAATACAACAACCATTGATCTATATAGAAAATCAGATCAATTGACCATATATGGCTATGTTTTGGGCAGGAAATCGCATTTTTTTTCTTTTTTTTCCTTTTTTTCTTCCTCCAATTCTTTTTCTTTTGTATATAAGTATAGATGTATGCTCACAAAAAAGAACATTAACAATGCAAAATTGTCATACCATTGCTTTATTGTATGTCATGTCGGTGCGACCAAGTATCAAACTGATTCCAAAATAAACGAAAAAACTTGAGAATATCAAATCAAAAATAGCAAACTGAAAAAATACCGTCAAAGAACCAAACCGTACTGAATCAAATAGTCGGTACAATATTTGAGAATGGTAAAAAGTAGATGAATTTACCGGATAAATTTCAAGAATAGTACATTAACTTTCACGAAAATTTCAATTCAGTACCTGAACTTCAAAACCTTTCACAAAAATACATGAACTTTTACCATTTTTTCACTAAAAGTCCATTTGCCCATTACAAGGTCACCAATAGGTCACTTTGGACCAAATTGAAAAATCCAAATTTTTATTTTTTTTTCACATTGACCCCCGGGTGTTCATTCGGTAAACCATACCGAACCCAACCAAAATTTTGGTAAACTTATAATTTGGTTATTAATTTTTTATACCGAATACCGAACCAAAATTAAATTAATCAGTTTAGTCCAAAACCGAAATAAATCGGTTTGGTAAATGGTAATACCAAAAACCGAAAAAAAGGACCTTCTGACATTGTGAGTCGTCAGTTTCGCCAGGGCGGCCAGGCGAATGGATGAAGAAGGGAGCGCAAATTCAGTTCGAATTTCCGGCTGAATTCATTAAAGAGACTTCCTTACTGGCGGCCGACTAATTCCATCGAATTGAATCAATTGATCGAAGAAAAGAGAAACCTAATAGTGAGACTTAATTTAGAAGTGGGCTGGATATTAAATTTTTTAATATTGGGCTGGATATTGGTAGTGGGTTGGGTAGAATTACACAATATTCTTAAATTATTTCGGTAATACCGAAATACCGACCCAAAAAATTTTACCGAACCGAAAACCAAATTCCATAAAAACCTAAAACCGAATAGCGAATCAAATTATTTGGTTCAGTTTTGGTACGTACCAAAATTTTCGGTTTTGATACGGTTCGGTCGGTTTACCGGAATGTGCTCACCCCTATAATTCTTCCTTTTCTTCTCCTTATTATTATTATTATTATTATTTGTCTTATATTCTTTGTTTGCTTTCAATTTTGTGTAAATAACCATCTATTTTCACTATTTTTTGTTTGTTTTTTTAACTTTCTCTCATCTTATTTTTTTTCTATTTTTTATGTATTTATTTAGGGCCTATTTTATTCACGTGTTTTATTGAGTTGTTTACAATAAAGATTAAAAACAAACAAAAAAATAAGAAAACAAAAATAATAATACGCACGGTTTGATTTTTTCGTTCAATTAAATTTATTAAATATAACGTAGATAAAAGAAAAGATAAATAATAAAGATAAAGTAAAAAATAACGAAACGGATAGATAAAGAAAAAAAGAAAACAAAACAAAGAAAAAAAGTAAGAAATGAGAAAAGGCATAAAAGAAATAATTAAAAAATTCAAAAATTCAAAAAGGAACTAAATAAAACATAGGAAACAGAAACAAATACAGAAAATTAAAATAGTGAAAAAAAATTTAAAAAGGAAAAAATTTAAAAAGAGGACGTGATGAAGAAAATTAAAGTAAAAAGGAAAGAAATGATAAAAAGTGAAAATCAATAAAAAAAATAAAGAGTTAAAAGAAAAGATGGAGGGAATAAGAAAAAAAGAAAAGAAAGGAAAAACAAAAAATAAAATAAAAGATCATTATGTTTTAGTCCTATTTTGTGCAAATTTCACAAGAAAGAAAGGGGGGTGAGTTGAAAAAAAAACTCTCTATTTATGATTTAAAATTTTATTTTAAAATCATTTTAGACCATTTAATTTTATGCATGGAAGTTCACAAATAGTAAGTTTGTAAAGTTTGTGACCATTGTGTTTGTGAACCAAGCATTTCCCGGTTACAAATTGCGGGTTACGGAGTGAAATTTTCTACTTTTTAAAATCATTTTATTTACAAATTGGTATATCGATAAGATATAAAAATTACATATTAAAAAACTACGTCAAAAGTTCTACAAAACAAGAGGTGACAAGAATATTTTATTTTATCAAATACTTAACTA